GGTGGATTAAATTGCTACAAATACTAATACGACGCTTCCGAGACTCCAAAAACCGGTCGGTGATGTTTCCCTAAACCAGCTGAGCACATTCAGCGTCTTCCGTGCCTTCACACGCGCCCGGGTGGCCGGCTAGATACCCTTTGCTCGGGTGGGGGATGGTCAATTTGACCCCCTGAGATCTCGGGAACTAAGAAAGCTAGAAACACTAAATTTACAGGGTGTATTGACCTGTATGTGAACTCACAAGAAGTCCATGGAACATGTATAATGCAGTTCTTGCTATAAACAAACTCGAAATGAGCACCAGAAACTATCCCATACAGCAACCCCAAGAGCAACAAAACGGCTTGGTTTTGACCTTGGTGTGGCCTTTATACCTGATGTTAGCTCAATGTAATTTGCTCATTCAACTGTTGTGTTGCATAAGAAAGCATCTCAGAAACGTATGGCCTCGTCTAACACTCCGTTGTTGAATCAGACTGAAGGATTCCCTAGAAATTGCTTTCGCTGAAACCATGGCTTGACTTTGAGCTGCCATAGGTCAGCGACCTTACAAGTTACATCTAAATTTTTGATGCCAAACAATCCGCTATTTAATTGTCGAGAGCTATGCAAAACTTGGCGTGTCTTCACCAGGCCGTTTGGAAACCATTTTGGAAAAACCTTCTGGGGAGTCAATTTGACCCCCACCCCAGCCGAGCGCGTGTTAAGTTTAAAGCCGAATCGGGGGGGGGGGGGGGCGGTGGTGATTGGAGCATCGCGTGCCTGCTCTCAAAGGATACAAGACATATTTCAAGGGAAACGTGAAGGCTTGTATTAGATTATAGTAATCGTACTACAGTGCAGTATCCGTATTTCCCATGCACGGCTGCCATTTCCCACGCTCTCGTCAATGACCACCAAATGTTATCACCATTTCCACCGCCGTCATTTTGCTGTAACTTAGGAAAGATAGATCAGCCCCTGCAATTTCACGAATATTTTCTCTGAATTGTGCACCTCGAATCATTTTGTGTTAAGTGCTTTGCATCGTGGCGACATAATATGACAATTTCGAACAATGCTTTTGGGATTTAAGAAAAATAGCTGAGCGCAGGAACGCAAAGTTGTTGTACCTTTTTATTAATCCCTTCGCAACCAGGAAGAAAAAAGATTACAGGGTATTGTGGGATTATAGACAAGGATGGGGCAAATGGAAACATCTCCACTGGAGCCAATAACTTAACACAAGGTACTGGGCGACTTTGTAGGAATTTATTTCAGAATCGCAGGGTTTCCAAGGAAGCTTCATATTTGGTCATGAGTGACATTTTGAGGCAGACGCAGGGACGGTTGGGAGCTCGATTGTGAGTGAAAACTGCTTTTGGAATTGAAAACATCGTAAGGAATGTTTCTTTTCGAATCTTTAATCATTTCATCGTGGTGAAAGCTGCTATGCATTGCACAGTGTGTTGTGAACATAGTGTGATCTTTGTCTTGAAAAGAAAGTTAGCGGTGGAACATTTATGGAGAAGTTGGGGACTCGATTTGTAACTGTGATTTGTGCAGCAGTGATTTGTACCTCGTTGGTCTCCATAGATAGTCATAGAGCTGTTGTTCAATGTTCAAATGTTTAATGTTGTCCAAAGTTGGAGGGAGGGTTTGCCCTCCAATCCCCTGCCCGCAGGAAGAAGCACGGTTGCTCTGGCTCCTGGTTTGCGGTTTACATACAGGAAAGAACGGAACATCGACGTTTACAAGCCCGACATTTTCCACCATTTATATGTGTCGAATATCATGTCATATGTAAATTCAGCCAAATGTAGCACCAGGGGCGTATGCACAAGGGGATGCAAGAACTCCCCCCCCCCCCCCTCTCCTTAGATTCTGATTTCCGAGGGTCAAGGAGGGCCCACCGGGCCGATGATCTGGGACCCGATCAGAAGGCCCAAGGACACGAAGGACTAGTCGGAGTCTTATTCAGGGGCCCAGCTTGCGGAGACGGACCCTCGGGCCGATAAGGGTCAGGCACTGGCACTGGTGCCTGAGTCTGGCCCCACCAGTGCCGTACAGTCGGCTCCGTGTTGGTATGGGCCTGATGGCCCACTTTCAGAACAGCGACCAAGCTGGGGCCAGCGGTTTACACCGATCGGGGCCCCTGCATCTAGCAGGGGCTTGCAGTGCCTAGCGGATGGTACTGCGTTGGCAAGGGGTCCCGAGTCGACCAACAGCAGTGTTTAGTGAGGTTCGAGGGCGCGCCCAGGGGCTCGCCGATACCGACGATCAAGAACCTGATTGGAGCGCATAAGGGCCTGAAAGGTTGGCTGTAGATTACACAAAGGATCACGGCCCATAGGACTGTGACCTGAAATATTAGACAGAGGACAGAGGATCTCTGGTACCTTTTGAGGACCCCTGATACATTGCGGACGTGTATCATGGCCAGAGACTACCAACACGAACATTTGGCTACGCGTCGGTCTCAACCCTGAGATCCCATTTCCCAAGCAAGGAAAAGATCGGGCCCATCATTTGCATTGGTCTGGATCATTGAAACAATGACTGGGCCCCTGTGTCGGTCTTGAGTTCACGTTGCCTTCCAGGGGGCTATGAGTTGGCAAGTGTCTCCGAGTCTGTCACGGGCCTTGTTTGAAGAGGCCCGAAGAAGGGCCGAATGGCCCCTCAGTACCCAAGATCAAGGTTGTTATTGGAAGGCTGAAGAGGCCAAAGGGCCAGAAGGACTCCTCGTGGGCCACAATAAGGATGCCCCCGCCCGTTGGGCCATGACCTCCAGGGCCAGTCAGAGGACCTCCGCATCGATTGGGGATCCGTAGGACAGCGTTGGCCTCCCATACCAGCGTTTGAGCACTTAGCTCCCATATGTGCCAGTTCAGTTCTAAAATGAACAGTGTGGCCGGGTGGGCCCACATTGAAAGGGAGAGGGCTTGGGTACGCCTCTGGTGTCTGTGCTGGGTATTTAACAACTAAGACATGTGGCGGGTGGAAAACGCTGTGCACTGTTCCGGTCCTTACCAGCTAGGCATCCTGCGCTGCGCGTTTTTCACTGTTGAAGTTTTTGTCATCCTCAGGCCCGAATTTATCACCGGGTCGCGAGCGAGCCCATCTGACTTTCGGCGGGTGAAGTCACATGTCCAGCACCGAACTAACCGTCTGAACTGGCCTGAGGTACCGCTCGCCCACTACGCCAGGTGCGCCAGCTCACGTGGAATATTCGGGATGGGGTTTGTTTGGGCACGTCCAGCCGGAGGGCATCCCCAGTCGGCAGCCACTCAGTCACTCAACTTAGCAACCCAGCCAGCTTCAACTGACTGAGCGTCGATGAAGGGATTTGATGTCTGCCAATACTGCCGCACTGCGCTCCATCTGCCGGAATACTTATGCATTCGCCCAGTATGTCATGAATGTCCCCTATCTTCAAACCGCACGCTTTCAAGGTGGATGCATGGCTTTCAAGTTCCAGCTCGATGCTCCATTATCCATGCGGCGCTCCGGGTGCTGAAGCCGGTGTTGGAGACTATGGACACGCTGGAGTGCATCTGATCCTGCTTCTGCGTTAGCGAGATGACATTGCATGGTCAGAAGTCTTATAACCTAGCATGTTGTCAAACTAGGAATATGGTCGTTAATTGGTGCACTGCATTCATTATGAATAGCCAAAAGGTTACAAACGTGGATTGTGATGCGTTCTTGGGTTGCATTTGGTTACTGATCGAGCTAGTTTTATCCCGTATTTGCTAGGCAAAGGTGGAACAAACCCGCGGTACTCCTTGCGCCATGAAACTAGGAGCTGTCAGGGCCTACCTCTGGTGAATGACTAAGCCCCAGTGTGCATTGACTTCACTGTTCCCGTTAGATAGAGCCGCGCGAATGTGCCTGGCCAAGTCCGGGTCAGGAGCCCCGGCCGGGGAGCTTAGGGCACCTTATAAGCTCCTTGCGCAGCTATGTCCGACTGCTCCTCAACGATGTGTCAGCGAGGAAGGTGGGAGATACGTTCGTACTCGCTCCGGTACACAGTCGTAGGCTACATCGATGCGACCATTTTGTCCTGCCGGTTGATCTTCCAAACCGACGCTCATTCCAAATGCCAACTGGGGCTCAACAGTTCCATGGATTCGCTTGGGGTAGGTATAGGTATTAGGTATAGGTAGGTATCCCGGAGGGCGGCAGTTGTGATGCACACATAAACTGGTAACTGGGGGTGCAGTTGTGAGTCTATGTGGTGCTTCCGGAGGTATAGATAAGTCCTTACGCCAAGTGTTTTTTTGGCGTGAAACGCGGTGGATCGTCCCCGAACAGCTTCTTTCCTGGGTCGTATATCACCGCCTCGGTTATTGGAATGCATTCAAAATTAGGCATACCTGTAAATTTTGTCAATTAATTCATACTCACTTTGATGTTACGAATCATTCCACCTACCGAACGTGTTGTAATACATGCCATGTTTCATGTCCCTTATCACGCGTGCATCCGTCCCAGCGTAAAAGGTGTACCCCCGATGGCGTCGCATATCGATCTTTCCTGAAAAGTGCGTTGTCGGGCCGGTTTCACCTGGTATATATCGCCTTGCCTAAAACATTCATGAAGGTGATACTCGCTTGGTTTCAATATGTTTGGGATTGCAGCGTGAGGAATGATACCAGATTTATGTACAAATTCTGAACTTTCTACTGTGTTTTGGTGATCCATGTTCAATATTTTGTTACAACTCCGTGAATCCACGAGATGTTCGGGTTTTTTAGACATTTGTTGTCTAGTCTGTAGATGAAAGGAGCGTTTTGGTAACGTAATTTGTCAACTTGGTGATGAAAATCTACGTATTGGTGGCCAAACGTATCTAGTGCCCAAGCGTTAGTTTTGGTGGCAAATAAGTTAATTGGACTTGAAATGTTTATTTAAGTTTGATGTCCGGTTAGCAGACCTCCGGAACCTCCTGAGGAGCTGTACACGTTTTTGCGGCGTGCCCCCGAGTGATGCGCGTTCCGGCGTTGCGGACTGCTCCGCCTGCGGCGGGGCGTGGCGTACGTCACTGAACCCGTAGTGCTGCGAGTGTGGGTTGTGGGGTGTAACGCTGCGCAGTACCAACACCGAAACGACAGGTGAGCGCGGGCCCCTGGGGCTTCGAGGGAATTGCGCAGCTGACCAGTGCCGGGCGCGTGGCCAGCGTTTCCCCAGTCCCGCCACTGTCCGCTGCTGTCTGGCGTCAAGTGAAGCCACAGGTGTGTGTATGCGGGCGTAAGTCGCGACAGCTAGTTGGCTCGGCGCCATCTCTGGTGCTGCTAGGCCCCGGGAAGCGCTGGTACGCGGTACATCTTCCCAACCGCTCGAATTCCGCGGCTGGATGAGGGCATGGGACGCGCGCGCAGCGAAGGACCTAGCTTACCGCCCGAGGCTGCTCGTCCGCGACCCCTGCCGGCCGGCAGCTGCGAGTCTATCGCGGGCGCGGGGCGATCGGCGTGAGCGAGTCTCCCAGTGCGTGTAGCGTTCCGTCGGGGCTCATCTAGCCCCCCGCCACGTCCCCTCCCACGGCCGGTCGCGGGGGGCGGGGCGGATACTGGGCCGCCCACGGCGTCATTCGCCGCGCAGCGCGTCCGAGCGAGGGGCCGGCCGCGGTGAAGCGGCGTGCCGTAAGGCCTCCACCGAACCCCAGCCACGTCCCTCTCCCGTCCGACAGGCAGGCGGGGTTTGCGGTGCGGTTTTGGATGGTGGCGCGACACGCGCCGTGAACGGCTGCATGGCGAAGGCGGCGACCCGTGCAGCGTAATCCGCCCTCACAACAATGTCTGAGTTCCCCTCGCATGCTTTGCTGTTATGTAGCGTGTTCCGCTGCTGAAATATCTGGGATGCTAACGGCGCACGCGCGTCGTTGCTGGCCGCCGGGACCTTGCACGAGGCCGCGGTAAACCGGTTATGCAACGCGCTGCGCCGACAGCCGTAGTGTACGGCTCCGCGCCATATATTTGAACATATACAGACAGTATCGCGAGCCGTCGGCATATCTAGTCCCGTTGAAAGCTATAACAGCACGCTCCACACCACCCTGTTCTTGGCAGAAAATTGGGCTCGCCCGCGACGTGCTGCCAGTGTACAGAATGAAGGAAGAGCATCTGCGTATCTTGGGTAACCCACACTTAACCGGAGCTATGTGCAGCAATATAATGGGAGAGTTCCAGTCTGACACGTCCTCCTCCTCGGTAACTCTGCAATCGTGCAACTCATCTAACTGCGCCTTAAATGGGGTCTTGCGCGCCCATGAAATGGGATAGGGCTTGTAAATATAGGACGCGCCCCCGTTTTGGGCCTAAAGTCTTCCTGACAATGCAGGCCAATATCTGAATAGCCCCTCGAAGACGCGGCAAGGAACGCAGCCAGAAAGGCAGTCAACTTGTCACGCGAGACAGTGACGAGGTCTCCCATCACGAAGTCGGGAGGCAGTGACGAAATCTCCCACCACGAGGTCGAGGGACAGTGACGAGATCTCCCACCACCAAGTCAGGATTTCTTTCTTACGTACCGCCCATCGTCTGGAGGCACTGCGTTCCCTGTGCTGCCTTGCTGTGGGCACCGCCTGACGCGTGCTAGGGCTCGCAGGACCGACCAGGACCTCGCAGGACCGACCATTCGCGATCTGTTCAGCATATCCAATAACGCTGCGTCTGTGCAGGGGGATCGTGCGGGCAGAACAATTGCGGACATTCAAAGGGATCTCAGTTTCGGAGAACAGCGTTTTCAAAGAATGACGTATTTCCATGTTGGTTGAGCGTTGTTGGGCCAAACATCCAATAAATGGTCTGAATCATGTGGTGACCACTGGTTAGCCTTCGTAGCCAGGCAAACAACAGAGTGTGGGTGGGGCTGACGCAGGCTTCTTTACTCTCCGTTTTGCATTAGTTGTTACGCGTACTTGCAAGGAACATAATGCATGTGGATTAGACGGTAATTACCGATACTGATGATGGCAGGAACTACTAATAAGACAGTTGCGAGTGAAATTTGTTCCGACAAGGGCATGTAGCCGAAATATCACATCTATCTATCCAGTCTTCCGGTAATTTTACGAGAATTAAGGCTATTTGTACTGTCTTATCTATTCTTAGTTACCGCAAAGACGTTAAAAGTACACCAGAGTACCACCTAAAAAATTACCGATCGTTATGAGTGAGCTTACTTGGTTATATCTGATGCTTTATTTAATATATTAAAATGTTGAACATTCCCTTTAAGGACAGGGCTGTGGACTGCACCGCATGACCTTCAAGATGGCTATGTCAGCTCAAAACCCCATCCAAATGAGAAACACACCCTGTAAAGATTAAATGAAAACAGTTCATACATATGTCTAAGCACATCGGAACGCTTCTGAGATATTTACCAAACTCTCATGCCTAAACATGTTATAAGGGTTATTATTTTTAAACTTAGACTCAGTCTGATCTCGGCCAAAGCAATGACCTGTTTGGAACTTCGAAATCGACCGTTTCCCAGTAAATTACTGGCGAGGCTAAGGGTCGGGCCGTCTTGAGTTTTATTTGCGAGTTATTGCCAGGACGTACACGTGCACTATGCGATTCCTTCAAAAATTGCCCCAAAACACCTGAATCAATGGTTTGCGCACGAGAGGCTTGGTCGCTGACTTTGGCTCGCACTTAACGTCACACGGTCGTCCGTGTTCTCCGTCTGGAGCTTTAATCTTGTGTCACTGCCGGGCTTGGTCATTAAGATATGAATCTGGTTTCAACCCATCCTCTTCAGGACTTTTTTTGGTGAAAAATGTCATGTTTCGATGTTAGTCCAACGAGGAAGGTGAAATCGTGGCAACAGTGTGATTAGGTGCAAGGTGCAAGGCGCAAAAGGTGCAAAATCGCCTCAGTTCAATGTGGGGTTCGTGCATATGCAGACTGGCTGTTCGATCCGCTACAGATCATGCAGTCATCAGCTGTTGCGAACGAGAGGTGCCGCATTCAAGCCCGAAGTCGGAAGTGTTCGGCAAAGCGCGGGCCAAACGAGCTGAAAAGTGGTTCGTCTAGTCAGCAGCAGCTGAAGTCTGCAAAATGCACGGCAGATTTCCAAAGTGTGCAGCCTCGCTAGTAACGATGCGATATACTACTTCACTTACCAGACTGTAGATGCCACGTTTTTCAAGACTGGGGATGCCACCATGAAATATGACACAGGCTCAAATAAACTTGAACCAATGACATGGTATCAATGGCACAAACACCACCGAGAGTGTTTGGGGAACATGTCGATCAAGACTCGGTGCCGTGCTCGGCGTTGGTGGCCTTAAAACGCTCCCTCTCTCTGGGCGCTAAGTGGCGCATAGTGCCGTTCAACTGGTGCATAGTGCCGTTTAATTGGTGCATAGCGCCGCTTTGATCGGGCCACCGAGTCTGTGTGCTAGCTGGTGGTCTCATTTGTACTGGTTATGTGCTCGTCGGCGAATCACGCGTTTTCGATTGAATGCTGAAAGCCTTGAAAGATGAGCTGGCCCTGCAAGATTGCGGACGAGACTGCGCAACCATAAGGGAGCCATACAAGCCAAACCGTTAATGGGCATGGTAGCTTGCAGAGCATTACAAGTTGTGTTGTCCATTTCCGAGTTTTTCCCTTGCCTTCGGTATTGGCTAGTTGAGCTTCTTGTAAGTACCATGCACCGTATTGCCGAAAAGCTGGACATTCTTGTTCGTTACGTTCATCACCAATGCGGATAGAAGGAAACGATGCTGATCAAAACGCTGCTCGCGCTGATGCCGTGTGGCCTGCGACCATAAACACAAGTGATCTGCCTCGTCTGAGTTTGTTGTTGTTTGTTTGTTGAGTCTGGGTTGGTCGGCCGCGCGGCGCCAGGGACATCAGGCCCGGCTGTGTCCAGCTGCGCAGCCGGCGCTCGCCGCGGGGGGAGGGGGGCGGAGGAGCAGAGGGTGAGTCAGGCCCACGTGCCCGCGCGTCACGTGCCCCGTGTCGTCACGGTCGCCGCCCGAGGCTGTGCACTAGCAACGCAGGCCGGCCGTGACGGCGAGAGGCGCGATTTGTCCAGATGTGTGGCGGTCATGGAGCACGTTTTGTGCATCCTGACAAAGCTTACGGACGTGAGCAGGCTGCGGGGCAAAAAGTTGGCCTGGGCTTTCATTCGACGTTAGAGAATAGCACTGAGTTTTCTGTCTTTCTCTCGTGCGTATCAAAAACTTACCTGTGTAATGTAGATTATGGCAAGCTTTCTGTTTATACTGCAACCCGTCTCAATTTGATGATCATTCCCAATGGAGGTGCGACAAAGCCGCACCCATGTAAAATAAACTTGGTGGTGGCTAAATTTTTCCGCCGCGTGAAGACCAGCGCCAGACCGTTGTAGATCGCCCAGCAGTTCCTGGACACTTCCGTGGAGACAATCGTCTCCTTTCCGCCTGTGCCAGCTGCCCGTCGCGGGACGCCGTCGTCATGCTGACCCGTCACCCCATTTGGACGGTCCTCCAGCGGTCAGCGCGCTGTGTGCTGTCTGGCTCCATGAGGCCACGAGCTGCGCAACATGAGCTGCGACTGGGAGGAGCGGGGGTTGGGGCGATGGGTTACGTCACGTTGGTGAGGGCGTTCTACAGGGGCGTAACTGAGCTATTCCAAGATGTATCACACAAAAGGTGAAACCCATGGGGAAGGTAGCATGGCACCAGTGGCTTAGCCAAAGGGTTTTTGGGGGTGGGTGTCATGCCGCCCGTCCATGGAAGAGGCGGGTGCGCCCTGGAGCCGAAGGTCCTAGCGTCTTTTGGCAGCTTGAAAGGGGTGTTCCACACATTTGCTCATTTGTACGGGGTTTTGAAATGACATCTGATATTTTTGATTCAACATTTTCAACCATGAAACATCCCTTTAAGACGCCCGAGAGTGTGTCTGCAACAGAAGCAATTCTACTGCGTAGGTTTTGCTAGAAAAGTGAGCAAAATTAAGCATAATTTGGAGAAAAGTACGGCTGCGCGCACTTTTCTTATACCAAAATGAATACAAATCGTGATTTTCTACCTTCACCAGAATTCCAATGCATCCTCGGCGCAGGGCGTGCACATAAAAGTTAATGAAATCGGACGGTACGACGGGCCGGTTAGTATAAGACTGCTGCGCAGTGAAAACGAATGGGGAAACTGCCTCCCAAACTTACGGAGTTCCACCAGACTGGACGTGTCCGTTTCCGTTCTTTTGGCATTACGACATGTCATCGGTGAGAAGTTCCCTCGTATCGGCGAACAGTTCTGTTTTGTTGCGCTCTCGCACGAGATCCCCGTGGACTGCGGAGAAAGTCATCGGTTCGGTTTCGGTGTTCTTGTCGGAGTCCAGGAGCCGACTGCAATGTTTGAACCGAAACACGTGCCTAGTGTAGTGTGCCATCTGGTCAAGACGGTGGGGGACAAGTACGGGAATCGTTGACTAACTCAGAAGGTGACCTTGACGTAAACTGGACGCATTTAAAGCTGCCAGAACTACTAAAAACGATATCCTACGTCGTTTCTCTCGACCGAGGCGGAAATTATTCCTGCACAAAATGGCTTTTAAATCACATAGCCACATAATCTAATGAAGTGTTGCGATGTGTCGGCTCATCCCGCCGTGACGTGCTACCATGTGGTAGTGTTGTAGTTACTGTGCTCCTCTGTGAGCACAGGACAGCCGTAGCGACCTCTGTAATCTCCATGTTACATGTAATTGATGGCAGAAATATCTCTGCGCGGAGAGTTAACGTCCGGGGAAGAACATCATAATGTAAAAATTAAGCGATGACGCATATTTCTGTGTTAAATCAAGTTAAAAGTGGGTAACTATAGCGAGGTGTGAACCCGATTCACTCGCAGAGTAAAAATCGGGAAACTGGACTGCATTTTCCCAAGGCGACATGGCGAGGAAGACGTTTAAGCGGTGATTACTGCAGGAAAGTGGCGTTCGGGACTTGACCGTAAGTTCATAGAAGCGCTTGCTTCGCTTCACACAATGAGAACACGTATACAATTTATCATGTATTATTTGCAGTTTAAATCACGGTTCCGGCTGTTCTAGGGGCCGAGATATGGCGCAAAATGTGAAAGACTCGGCCAGGGGCCGTACGCGGCCAGGTCCCATGGCGGCCGCCAGCGGGAGAGACCGTATTTCGCCTGCCCTCTCTGCAACACAGGCAAACCTATTCCATGGGGCCAGCAATTGATCGTGGGACGTGGCCGGTGATTTGTGCCACATCCATGAACTGTCTGCCTTTGAATGATGGCAGTACGCACTGCCGCTGCATTAAACGGCATTGTATTGTATCGAAAAGTCAAAGGCGGTCGGTGCCGGCCAATTGATTTGTCCTGGCTTGCACGCACGTGACGCTACAGACTATACCACGTCATTGGTATGGTTTGTAGGGTCAATAGCGTCGGACAAGTGAGGTGTAGAGGGTCAATGAGTCGGCCAACACGCCGATGTGGTTTTCAACGCTAAATCACACAGTTTTCATGGTAGCGGCTTGAATTCGGCTTCAGTATTTAAAGCTCGGCCCATCGCAAATTGTTTTGCAGTCTGCAGCGCAACGGTGCGTTGCAAACAATCGCGATGCAACTTACAGTGTACCCGCGTCAATTGCGTATGTTGGAAAACAAAATACACGCCTCTGCGCGCACGGCGAACGTCACACACAGCGCGCCCCCGACCACCATGCCTGATCTGGGACCGCCCCCCCCCCGCCCCCCACGGCCCTCCGCCGGCCCACAGCCGGACAGACTGAAAGCACGCCAAAATGTGCGTCCTTGATGCACGTCCAAAATGCACGAAGGCCGCCTTAATGAACAAAGTTGAAGGCCGGCGCGTGAAAGGCCATTTGAACCCTTAACGCCCAGGGCTGACGCCGGGAGCCGGGACAGTAACTTGCGGTCGTCGCGGCGAAAAATCCGTCATGCGACCTCTTAGTCTAGGCTCGCTTGCGAACGATGTTTTCTAAAATGCGGCCAAGAAAAGTGTGCATCAGGGAAAGGACAAAGCGGCCGACACGGTTTTGCAGATTTCAACGCTAGATCATGCATTGTTTTGACGGTAGCGAGTTATACTCGATGCCGGTTTTTAAAATTCGGCCGGTTACAAATTGTACTGCAATTAGCAGCGCAACGGTGCGTTGCACAAAGTCACGATGCGCGCTGAAAGTGAAGCTGCTTCAGTTGTGAATGTTGGAAAACAATATTCAGGTCCCTAGGTGCTTTGTGCGCTGAGCTTTAACGGTAAACGTAAAAACACGTCAAAAACGGCCGATTGCAGCTTGTCAACACGTGTGAACGTGCCACGTGTCACGTGGCGCAAAAAAACTCACCCCATTGCGATGGCCCATTCCGTGCTCTATCGCACTGTGCAGGTTTCACGTCGCTGCGACCCTTGGTTACCGGAATACGGCTCCGGGAAGCGAGGCGTATCGGACCGTCGGCCGGTCGCCTTCTTGAAATTGGCGTCGCCCGTGTTAACCCTATGGGATTTTTGTTTTTTTCGGCATGCGCTCATTTTTTGGTAAATGCGAAATTTTGACGCGATTCTCAAAGGCACAGCGGGTCATCTCGGTCGTGCGCAGATTTCATCAAAAAATTCCTTGCCGTTTTGGCCTGCAGGTAACGCAGCGGACGCACACCCACACACTGTTCCTTTATAATGCAGAGGTTTTCGGAACGAGAAGATTTATCAATGTCTCCAATAAATCGGCTTCACACTTTGGACGTCGTGACTCATATGGATTCGTCTTCACATACGCTCAACCACAGTGAGAAGATGCCCTAAGGCGAGACGAAAGTGAAGCATACCGCGACAAAATTACTGTTAAAATCCCCTTTACACTACATGGAGAACCGCGCATATCTTCGTCCTTCACCACCGGCTGGCGATACCAGAAGGACCGAATCGCTCCGTACTGTTGTGACGCCCTCCCTCTAGGGAAGTCTTGTTTCTGGCCATGGGTTTGCGTTTAATGGTCTACAGCTTTCAGTAGTTACGTCGTTACGCTCGGTCTGAACAAGTGAAGACCTTGTAGCCTGTGCAGTGCTCCACTTACATATAAAACATATATGTACGTTTATATTTATTTATTTATGTTGAATTGCTTACCTGACCGCTAACCACCGCTGATGATTGTATTTCATGTGACATTTGGCTCGGGGCCACTTTCGTAGTGGTTTCTCGGCATCCACGTTTACCAGTGAGACTGCGCGCTTGAAGGATGCTTGAGGGGCGAGGACGAGGGTGGAGAGACCGGTGCCCACTCCACGCACCCCGCTCGAATATTAGCCCAATAACGCAGCCAAATGAGCGGCGCGCCGCATTCTCGAGCCGCCGCTGCGGCCGGCGTAACGAGGTCTGGCCCGGGTCGACGAGAGGCGGGGGAGGGGGGGGGGGGGGGCGGCCGCCCGTCCCGCCCGCCCGAGGGCAGGACGTCCGCCCTAATGACGTCATTAGAGCTGTTTTGTTGCCCTGATGGGCCGGCGGCGGCACCTGGCGAGGAGAGGAGTCATCTGCGGTCGTTAACCGCAACTGGATCTCGGCACATTGTGGGTGTCGATGCGGTGACGGCCGAGCGAACGTCTGGAGATGGACGGCGTTCGATGGCTTGCCTTGGATTTTGAGCATGCGATGCATCGTACCTCATTGTTTCCCCTGAGAATCTGCATTGACATGTGGATGGTAGGCATCTTTGCATCATTCGTGGGTCTGCTATGTTTGCACCACTGTCAGACAGGTTCCCTTATCCTTTCCAGATGTTTGTTTAATGCGTACTGCAGTGCATAGAGCATGCGTTCTGCAACCCCTTTGCAAGTAACTTGTTATATGACTGATTTGTTCCCGTTGTCATGTCAACGGGGTAGACGTGCCTGCAGGTGACTGTGGTTTGGTGACAGCCCCTCATATATGCTGTCAGTTTGTCTTCGTGAACGTTTGCCTTTTGTTGACTGTGTCAGCATAAACCTGTGAGGAAATCATGTCTGATCGCGCATTTGCTGATAGCGGTTGGTCTGTACATCTTGATGAAGGCGTTGGAGACTTTGGTCGGCAGGTTTTGTTCACGGCTCTGTTTGCCTTGCTGTAAAATATATCACCGGCAATGTTTCCGATCGGCTGACATATACCACAACATATATATATATATATATACGCACGCAATGCGTGAGCGTGACTCGAATACTCAACTATTTGTTGTCCGCATATGTGCCTGCAGCGCCTCGGAACAAGGTCGCAGCGGATACTTGCAGAGCTTCGCAACAGGGCCGCACCGGCTGTCTGTTACGCTGTCGTGAGTTGTGGCGCTGCTTACGTCGCCGCTCTGTCGCCAACCGCCTGGGTGTGGCTGCTAACCTGCCCCCTTACTTCGCGCGTGCCGGTAGGATGGGCAGCGGCGGCGGCTCGGTCGGCTGTGTGTTCTGGGGCCTCATCTGGCTGCTGGTCCTGTTCTTTTTCGGCTTCTGGCTCGCCGGCTTCTGCGCCTGCTGGTACATCCTCATCGTGCCGCTCACGGTCTGCATCGATGGCCTATCGGTGAGTGTGTCCCGAGCCAGCAAGGGGCCTTCTTAACACGCGATCACGAGGGGGTCATTTCCCCCTCCTCCGAAGTTTTTTTCAGAATGATCCCGAACGGCGCAGCACATCGGCGCCAACCTTTGTATAGCTGTAGGCAAATTATCTTTTGGTGTAAAAACTAGGTGTACCTTGTAAGGTCGCTGACCGATGGCATGCCAAAGCCAAGCTGAGGCTGCCAGTAAAGGCAATGTCAGAAAATCGTTCAATCGAATGCGCCAATGGAGTGTTAGACGAAGCCGTACATGTCTGAGATAGTTTTTAGGGAATAAGACAATGGAATTTGTAATCACAACAAATCCCATATCGCCACGAATTTTGATGCGAGTGAGTTCATACACAGGCTTACACACCCTATGAATTTGGTGTCTCTAATTCTCTTAGTTTTTGAGATATCAAGGATGTGAAATTACCCCCCCCCCCCCCACACACACACAGGCACCAACAAGAGAAAGATATTCAAACGCCCATCCGGGCGCGTGTTAACACAATATTAGGTCTCCTGATTAGAGCATTGGCGTTGTGTTTACAAAGGTGACTTCAGGACTCAGAAAACGTGTTTCATGATGTAACAAGTGGTCTTTTAAGCCAGTTTGCTGCTCTCTAGCTCTGTTGTGGTGCCTACCTTTATCTGAATTTTCGTATGCTACGTGTAGCTACAGCACCTTTAGTTGAGAAAAAGTAGCCTCCCAAAAGCGTGGATGAGGCAAAAACACACGCTTTCCCCCTCAGCCCCCTGTTGCGCCGCCCCTGCATGCGTGCACACAGCGCCGATGCCCGTTTTGCATGCGGGGGTTAATGTATAGGAGCATTCCCTTTCTGATAGCAGAGGATCGCAATGATATAAAGGTCGACTAAGACTAGTTCGTCTTGTGTGGCGCGTGAAGGATGCCCAGCTGAACCCAAGACGCATATGATAACCTCCGTATTTTGATAGATGGATATCATGTGGTACGTCTCAGATCCAGATTTTGTTTCCCCCATTCTGTGTTCCACCCGCCTGGTGGTTCTAATTTGCTCTTGCGTTTTTTTTTTTCTTACGCTTGTTTCGTCACTTCCGTTGATTTCAGGGGTTGACTGACACGCTGATGCGAGGCGTGCAGTTTCCGAAGACCTGTGCCGAGAACATGATGTCAGGCCGGCCTCTCTGCTAGCTGGAGGTCCAGCACATCCCGACGCGGCGCGGCTCGCCGAAAGGACGCCACGCTCTGCCTGGAGAGCGACCGCCTGCACCGCGTGCTGCCACCCGCTTCAAGCCGGATGTGTCTGAAGCTTGATGCCAGCACCTGTTAGTCGGCACGTCGATTTATTTTTGTTAGTCGGCAAGTCGGTCGGCTTATTTTTCCCGGGCGACTTACAGCCGGTTGAATGGCGTAACGGCTTAGAAAAACCGTTACCCGCACGGATAAAGATAAGAGACTTTCCGAAATATATTTGCATAACGAGAGTGAGCGCAGGAAGAATTGAGTAAAACGAGGAACGCGACAATAGATGAGTCAGATCGAGACGTAGGGCGACTAAAATAAGAAAACACTATGCTCGCAGCGCGCAACGTCCAACCACATTCATAATCCACGTAGACGGGACCCATGTCATCCGTGGCTGTTGCCGCAGGACAGCGCGGTTGCGCCGCACACTTCTCACATGGCGCAGTGGAGGGTATCGAGGGAATGCTCGAAAGGGGACAACGCGTCCGCGCACCCTATTTGTGTCAGGCCCGCGCACGGTGTGTTGTCACCGCTCTGCTTGTTACCATTACGCGGACTGGTCACTCCGTAATAATGTTTTACGAAGTTCGGCCTAGAGCTCTACGCTTTTCTTACGCCTCCTAGGTGTAAGATTGCTGTCGGTTAACATAAAATGTTGACTGATTGGTTCATCATGGAAGGGATGAGAGTTTTGATCTGTTATATTTTACACGGAATATGCAGAGGATGTAATATGTCATTATCGAGTAGGTTTTCATGAAAGATATTTTTTGCGCGTTTTTATGACCAGGAGAGTATGTGACCAGGCTACGACCTCTGAATGTGCACTATCTACTCGCGGCGACACATGTGTTGGCAGCAGTGCGGTCGTGTGTAAATAGTGCGCAACACACAGGGACCTGATGAATTGGATATTAGACAATAATACGAGGCTAATTAAGTTGCTTGGAATACCAAGACGCATTATTTGATTGTGGCGTAATCTGTCGTTGTCCGCGCTTTGACAGAACGGATACACAACCATACCAGTATTGTAACATTAATTGTTTTGGGTATGATGAACTTGTTTCGTGTTCAATAACAAAGGCTTAAATGAGATACTTCTACTGATAACTTATGACATTTTCCACAGCGCTGTTAAAGGTCAGAACCTCTTTACGAAGACTCAACGAAAACGTGTTTTGCAACAACCTGCGCTGGAGCCGATCTACGTGACAATTGCAGGTATAGCACGCAAATCGGTGAATAGGTACGGTCATTGGTAGCCTAATCGCGAGATGAGATAACTTGCTCACGTAACGTTGATGCAGACACCGTCGTACTTCATGTTCAGCTTGCGGGACGTAGCTGAGCCAGGACAGTATTTTAGTATATCTAGCAGTTGAGTTCAACTCCGCAAAGGCTAGGGAATGGAGGCCTGACCTTCTCTAGGCGGAGCTCGTACAGGGTAATAGATGTGGAATAGAACGAAATTCAGCATATAAAGCTGCACTTTCAAACAAGAAATACACTAGACGTACAGTGTAGGCTGAATTTCTAGTTCGTGCTAAAGATGTGGCAACCGGAAACTGACGGAAGCGTGACGCAGGGTACACAGAAGTGAATATATTTAAAATCTGAATGAATGTTGCGCACGGACTTTCTGCAAGAAACTCTCGAGGGGTTGCACACTTATCACACTGGCAGCATGCATTGGCTGATATCAAGCAATTTAGCATATTCCATAGGGAACTGATAAATAGCTCTACAGCGCCCCGACTTCGCACAAACAGCCTTTCAATTTGTACCCAGCACGTTGCTGATTGAGCTACTGAGACCACTGAAATTACTACAAAAGCCGAAAATTCACCGGCTTACCGTGTAAGAACATTTTGACGTGGTACGCCATGAAAGTTTGTTTTTTAGACAAAATAAATACCAATGGATCGGGTGAAGACCATTAAACAATCTTTCGTTTAGTGCTAGGTTCAGCCTGCTGTTGGCGCCGTTCTTAATTAAAGAATCCGATTAGCAGCTCTGTAAAAAGCAGGCCTTTAACATGTAAGCTCTATGGGCTAGCAGGAAAAGTACTCCATGGGGCGGCTGTGCAGCCGACGTACTTCGGTGAGGGCTGGAGCCCGCGTGTAATATGGGCTGGCATTCCCGAGTTCGGCGCCGCGAGGATTTTGTGAGATTTGCTCCGGACAGCGCAGTCGTTACGCACACTACACATGTGGAAGTCATGCATTTATTTGTGCACGTGGGACTCGACCAAGCTTACCAAACGTTACATAACTAGTGAATATGACATCACGTCCTCGATGAAGAGGCGGAAATACGACCGGTTAGAGGTGGAAAAAGCTCGTGAGTTTGTTTTCGTTCGACTGGAATAAAGCATTTGCGACATTTTGGGATCCCAGAGGATTGCGGGTTGCTCCTGCAGGGCAACAGGGTTTGGCTGATTGGTGATCAGAGGAGACTATGGTGAAGCGGCTCGGAAACTTGCCTGGAGCAGCTTTTGCACTTGATTTACAGAGGAGTTTTATCTGTTAGGTGAGTATGATATTTTTATACCCTGGACAACAGGGTGTTGGGGCAGATATTTTCCTCCGGGTAATGCGGAGGATGGGGCGCTAGTTTTGGGCTGTAGTGGTTAGGATGTACCTATAAGTTTGTGACATGCTCAGAGTAAATGGGTTCTTGCTTCACATCAGGCAAACTTTCATTGTTTTGGTATATTGGTTGTATTTTTCAAATGTCTTTGTATTTCGCGCCTGACACGACAAATTGATTTGAGCTGGGTCTCGAGTTTAAATTCCAGATGTGAACGAAACATTTGTAAAATATGCATGCTAGCTTAATATATCGTGTGAAATAAGAAAACATGTGTACCTTACGTTTCAAGTGAGCATTGCACATAAATTATCTTCTCCAAGGCAGGAAATATCACAAATAATCACAAAACAGATTAATATTGCTTTCAAAATTTTATCATTACGATAGCGAGCACTCGAATGCCCAAGAAGGGAAACACTTCCGACGTGCCGGCGCCATTGCTACGACGAAGTCAAATTATTGTGCATCAAAAGCTATCACAAATTTACAGGGCAAGCGTAGCGGTAAAAAATAACCAATATTGACGGACGATATTGCATCTTAAGTAAAGATCAAGCTGCACGAAGTGAGATCGTTTAGCTAGTTAAAACTGGAATTTGAGACCACAGGCCCAGATGACCTGCAATTCTTCCGCGACAACGCCTTCATAAGAATCGCGGGAAAAAGGACCAAGATCTCATCTAACATAACCAACCTAACCTAACCCAATCCAACCTCCTAACCTAATCTAACATATCCTAACCTAACCAAACGTAATCTAACCTAACCGATCCTTACCTAACCACCGTGACCAACCCCCCACCCAATCCTTTGCTGGCCGTCGTCTCGTTGGCGTCCAGGATCATATTCCATGTCATATTTCTACCATACTGTGCCATCATATTTAGCCGACATGTTTTCATTTTACCTCGTATTCCCCACCCAATCCCTTGCAACCTATTGTCCCGTCGGCGTCCAATATCATATTCCATGTCATATTCCTACCATTTTAAGACGTCACATTTAGCCGCCATGTCGACCAATCGACAAACAGTATGCAAAAACTTCGCCTTGAACCAACAAACACGCGCGCCAAATTGGAATCAGATTCAGATTCACATTCGGATCGATATTTGCGAACTGCTTCAATGTGCCAAGAAATTTGAGCACAGATATGCCTTAACTTCTGATTCGTTTCCTGAATTCGCTAGGCGGCAGGTCCAAAAGCAAAACAATTATAGTAAGTCAAAGAGTTCAAGGTTGAAAATCGGACTGATGGGATTTCCCTCAAAGTTGCTACACTGATCAATTGATAAATTCGAATCCCATCCTCATTTTCCTGAAAAATCTTCGTCGCAGCTTAAAAAACACAAGAAAATATAGCACGTTCATATTTCAAGATCAGGTGTCCAGCGTTAATGCTCAGCAATCAGTTCATTGTGACGGTGCTAGCTCTGGTGAAGTGTATATTTGACCGCCACAGAGCATCAGCTCTGCTATGGAGCCATCTATTTGTCTCAGGCGCGATAATGGGAGCTTTGGCATGGTAAGCCGATCTCCCCGGCATGTTACCATTCACTTAAGCGTTCAGAATAATGCGGTGGACTGCTTAAGGTCAGCTCAGAGATGCAGATTGTGTGTGCGCGATATTCCATGTAAACCGTTTGAGTAGCAATAAATGCCGCGCTTCGAGCATCGTGTTTTGAGGTGTACCTGCGTCATGTTTGTATAAACAGGTGGCGTGGAAAACGATGCAATGAGGACAGATGTGCAGTTTTGGAGCACGAAGGGATGTTTGAGGCTGTGTGAAAGTGTAAAGAAGAAGGAAAGTTTAGATAAAGAGTCGAGGAGAAGAAGAGGTGGTTGAAGAATAATGCAGAGTATTGGAGGGAGGGCTTGGTAAGTGGAAGAGGGGGAAGGACTCAATAGAGGCTACTGATGAAAAACCTAAAAAATTCACCGTATTAAATACGATCATTACGATGCGATATTAAATGCGATATTAATACGGCATTAGATCCTAACCCCCTTGATTTCGAGAGGGCCCAATTTCTTCACCTTGTTATCCAGCTCTGCCAGCATTCGGGCTTACTCAGTGCACCAATAGAATTTAGAAACTAAGGAGATTCCTCCTTGGATGAGAAAGAAGGGGGGGGGGGGATAGTACGTTGGGATAGTGGATACATTGGTGCATGGTACAAGGGTGGTAAATGTGTGCTTTTTGTCGCCGTCCGACGTTCTAGAGGCAAAATTGTCGCCAGCAGCGTAATGTAATGCCACATGACATAAAATGGTAGGAATTGCATGCCCAGTAGCGTCATCAGGAATCAGCATATCACCGATAACATTTTTTATCACCACCGTTTTCAATATCATGCACACAACCAAAACGCTCCATTTTACAATGTCCTTCAACTATTGTCAGGATAACCGCTGCTGCTAGGAAAGCAGGCGCACCTGCCCTCGACTATGGGATAGCCAAATCATAGCAGCAGCCCGCTTCCACCTTCGGATTTGCCGGCGCCTCACGTTTAAACTCGATTTACGGCTGACCGCTTTCCTCGACCGCGAAAAAAAAACGACATTTGGGACGCCGACAGTCAGGAGAGCAGAATACAAGGCGGAGTTCGAACCGGTGGCAGGCAGCACTGGAGATGATGTTCAGTATGTAGGACTCCACGGGGCCACGCCACCTCATGAAAATCACGTGTGCGCTTCGAGCCTCATCTCAGACCGTCATCAGACTAGCCACAATACCTCAGGCGTGCTCCAATCCTGGCGCGACATATGTTTCCAGGTGGGCGCCTTTCGCCTTGCCCCAACAAGTGAATTGTATTGAAAATCGTTAATAACTTTCCATCAGGCTACTAGTTCTTTCTGAAAAACATGGTCGTCTCGACAGAAGGGGAAGGAAGGGCGGGTGGCGACGCGACGCCTCCGCCCTAAGGGTCTCCAAGGATACCAGTCCGGCATGTTGTGCAGTCTTGCTCAAATATTTAGTAGCCTCTGGGGCATCCACTGCACGCGTGTTAACACCAAAAGGGTGTTCCCTGCAATTCTGGTTTCGGAGAAGCGAAGTTTTTTATGAGTATTGCAAGACGTTCTAAAGCTAGCAGTGGCGGCGGATGGCAAGCGACGATTTTGCGGACCGCGCGCGACGGGCTGGTACTGTTACATTCATGAAGCCCTGCATTATAAATACAGGCTCGAAACAAATAAAGCCACGTACCATTGTACCCATAGTCAAACAAGAAACACGTCTCATTCATGTCCAATGTCTCTACGCTGCATGGTTACGTACATATGAACATGCGAAGCTGGAATGAATTGATTTTCGGGTGAATTTGACCTTAGACTTAGTCCAGTGGGGTTAATTAACAACAGGACACTTC